GGAGCCCCCAATAGCAGCAGCACCATGACAGTGTAGGGCCAGTGTTTCCATGGAGACCAGCCCCAGCAGCACTGGCAGGGTGCACAGCTGGGTGGGGAACTGCTCCAGGGCCAGGCTGGGATCTTGCAGTGGTGACAGCATGGTCCAACACTGAGGCACAGCTGCAATCCATTGACTGCAGATGCCAGGCACCTCCTCTACCCCTCCCAGATCCAGCGCATGCAGACAGCAGATCTCTGCTCTTCGCCATCTCTGGTCCATGCTGTCACTGCTGCCAGATCCCAGCCCTGGGCCTGAAGAAGCTCCCTACCCAGTCATGTGGCCTGCCAGCTCTCCTGGGGCTGATCTCCATGGAAACCCTGGTCCTGCGCTGTCATTGGCACTGCCACTAATGGGGTCTCCATGGAAACCAGCCACAGCAATGTGAGCAGGGGCTGCTGGAAAATGGAGTCGGCCACAGACCCTATCTGGCTTGCAGGCTAGACTTTGCCCACCCTGGCTTAATGGAACAGGAGCTGGGTAATGCAGAGAGATAATTCTGCCCTAGAGTGGTGTAACTTTGATTGACATAACAAGCACTTAAAATCACTTTAAGATGTTAATGTGAGGACAATCCAGGGGTTAAGAGCTCTAGGAGTTGCCCAAAGTTACCACATCACAAGGCCCAAACAGCCTGAAAGATTTTTTTAAAAGGTGCATAAAAGATCAGCCAGAAGTTATGGTGTGAAACTTCATCATGACTCATATCCTGAGCTGTATCTAATGCTGACACCATTACCAGCAAATCAATATAATCAAAATTGCTGTCCTGAAGTATGTTATTTGTCAGTGTTAACAAGAGAAATATTAGTAGTGTTAAAAAAAAGCTAAGTCAAAGGTTTTTTCAAATGCTGCTTCTAGCTGTAGGGTTGGGCCACAGTGTACAGGATTGTGTACCTATAACAAAGAAAAAGGGGATTATTGCAAATACATCGCACTGAATCAAAGTCTCAACATTATTTCTCTTCCTAATTTCTTTGCTCCTTCCTTTTGGATTTTTACTTCTTTAACGTCTAATGTCATTCTTTCTAATTTTCCTTGTTATTTGAAACAGTGAAGTATATTAGGACAAGAGAAGGGCTGAAGGGAAAAATAGTCTCCTATGAGCTGTTAGTCACTTTGAACACCCATCATTGTTGCCCAAATGGCTAGTTTCGTGCCCCTGGAGGCTAGACCAATTTCACCTCAAGGAGACAGTCACACACAGGGTGAGTCCATCATGAGTTTATTGATTGCGCAAGCAATGTCGACAGAGGAGC